TCAGACCTTGTGTGGTAGAAGTGGTAGATGCTCAAAAAAGTGGTAGTTCTACCACAATGTGGTAGAAGTCCGATCACTGACATATAACTATATGTATGTATGAACACACTTACATACATATATACACAAATGATACATTGTAACATTGATTTTAGCGTTTTCCAAAAAAAAGAAATCGTTTCTGTAGTTCAGTTGTTTATCGTTTAGGTAATTACACTGTGCAACAGCATTTCTGGGGGCGCAATAATTCCAACGCAGGATGAAAGGCCTAGACCCATATAGAAAAACCTCAAAATCGTTTTGCATTCTTTAGTCAAATTTCGTTGCTATGGCCGTTTTAAATTTGCAATATTTTGCCAAGTGTCTTTAGAAGAAACGAAAAAAGGGTTAAAATACATATCGGAGAGAAATATGTTATCCGGGACATGTGGTAAAATTTTACGAGAAATAATTTTGTAGAATGTTTTAACCCGTTATCTCCCTTAAAAGGGTCGTTTGGCCCTTCTTTAGAAAGTCCAAATAAAATGGCATTTTGAAGGTCGCTAGAGGGTTAAAATAATCTAGAGAATTATTTGCCATTAAATTTCACTAGGGATCCTCTTAGACAAAATCTTTGTACAAAGAATGTGGAAGTCCACAGAAAATAAAAATTCATATATATATATGAAATATGGGCAATTCTCAATTAGCTCGAACTTTCGCATTACTCGACAGTTTTTATTCGGACACATAATTTTCGCTGATTTATTAACCTGAATCAGGTAACATATATTGTGTAGATTATGTAAATTCAAAAAGGGACCACCACATATTTTCTAGCCAAGTATGCATATAATTTCGAAATAAAATTGGGAAATTTTCACAAATAGAAGTGTGACTCTCCGGTTATTTTTTTATTTTTACGTTGCAAAATTTGGTGCGTTGATTGCTCTTGTTTAAGTTTATAATGAACTGGTAGTATTTGGAAATGAGAATCGAATACAATCCGTTAGAAGTATGTGCTTGCAGAAGAAACGAAGTTATTAAGAGTCAAAGTGGCGTGACTCCTTTTTTGAAATTCTGATACTCGTGGCTTTTATAGTATCCCTGTAGTCAAATGTACTAGTTGTAAACTACCTCACCACTAGTATGAACCGCATGCCCAACTATTCAGCCAACTATCTTTTTTCCAGGCAATCAACTGGTATTTTTAACATGGGGATGTCCTACAAGATGGCAATTGTCAGATTTCGGTCAGAAATATACCAGTCTCATACTAGTTCAAAACAGACAGAAAAATACTAGTCCAATTATGGACCAAAACCGCTACTTTGGAAGTCAAAAAATTAAATGAATTCAGGAATATACAATGAAAGACTTTTGATTAAGTACACTTTAAAATACTACACATTTTTATTTAGCAGCCTTAGATTTGCCAATAATTAGTGTAAAATTTTTTGAGTATTAATTAAAAGGAAAAATAAATACATAAATATTTCAAACATTCGAACATAAATTTAAAGGCATTTTCCATTAAATGATATTAAAAGTAAAAGCTTTCAGGTACAATAAATACTATATTTATACCCGAGCGCACTTGTGCACAAGGGTATATTATTTTGTTCACATAACGGTTATTTGTAACAGCCAAAACGAATCGAGATAGATATAGACAAATGTATACATAAATGCTCAGAATGAATAGAGAAGTCGATTAAGCCATGTCTGTCTGTCCGTCCGTCCGTCTGTCCGTCCGTCCGTGTATACGATAACTTGAGCAAAAATTGAGATATCTCAGCCAAATTTGGTATATAGGTTTCCATTAATCCAAGGTAGGTTGGTATAGAAAATGGGCGAAATCGGACTGTAACCACGCCCACTTCCCATATAACGGTAATTTCCAGAAATACGAAAACTGCGATATTTTAGTAACTACTGATATAATTCACTCAAAATTGATATTTACAATAATTTTCAGACGAAAAATAAGAATATTATAAATTTTTGCAAAATGGGCTTAGCCACGCCCACTTATGGTTACATGTGTATATCTTAGTAACCGCTGCACCAATTTCTTCCAAACTTGGCATACATGTTAGCCTTGCCACAGCATATCAAATGGCCGAAAATTTTTAAAATCGGACAATAACCACGCCCACTTCTCATATAACGGTAATTTTCAGAAATACGAAAACTGCGATATTTTAGTAACTACCCTGCAGGGAGTGACGTTAGCTTATACCTAACTTTAGTCTGTTTACGCGAACACTAGTGCTAACTATTAACTGTGTATTTTGTTCGAAAAAAGCTAACTACTTTTGTGGGGGAGTAATTTTTGTATGAGGATATTTAATAGAAACTTGTAAAGAAAACCAACTCCCGATTGCGTCTGCATGACTCCTGCAGGACTTTACAATTCACTTTAAGTTGGTTTTGTCATAGCTAATTAAAAGTGAGGTATTAATCGAAATCTCGCCAAAAAGCTAACTATAAGTTGGTTAGTTTTAACAATTGATAATTTTTCACTGCAGGGTACTGAAGATAATTCACTCAAAATTGATATTTACAATAATTTTCAGACGAAAAATAAGAATATAAATTTTTGGAAAATGGGGAAAATGGACAATAACCACGCCCACATCTCATATAACGGTAATTTAGAGAATACAAAATCTTCGATAAATCAGTAAATATTAAAGCTAATTTATTAAAAATTGATGCTTGCAACAATTCTTTACCAAGAAATGCGTTTATGGTAAAATTTTGGAAAATGGGCACCTCCCACTTATGATCACATATATGTATCTCGGTAATCGTTCTCCCAATTTGTACCAAACTTGGCAAGTACAATGCCACATAAAAGCAAAACGTTGACAATTATTGAAATCTGACTAAAATTACGGCCGCTTTTCATATAACGGTAAATTTCAGAAATGCTTGAAACTGCAATATTTCGAAATTTAAGGACTCTAATTTACTCAAAATTGATACACCCCGGCTTACCATCTAGCGGTAGGTTTCGGAAAGGTGAAGAAACATATATTTAATACTTGCGCCGGGTATTTAATGTTCGGCTCCACCCGAACTTAGACTTTCTTACTTGTTTTATCTTTTTTTTATTAATATGGAAAAGAAAACATTTTAGTTAAAAATAAAACGAATACTTTAGTTCATTTTGAGTGAACTAAAATAAAAATAAAAGTTTTCATTAAAATAAATTAAATTCATTAACTTTGCACATTTCAGTCTTTTAAAATGTTTTTAAAGTAATAATTAAGGTTTAAAATTCGAGATTTGGATAAGAATAAAATAACTAAATAATTCAAACAGTTAATAAATATTCCTCATTTTTGTCTATACTTTGGCTTGTTGATTGATAATTAAAATTAATCAAATAATTATATTAATTTTTAATTAAAAAGAGTCAAAAATAATTGAAATGATCAAAAATAACAAAATAATGACGTAATTAAAATTAACGAATTAATTAAAAAAATTTGTTTAAGTAATTATTAATCATTAAAAAGGTGCTAATATCGGTATTTAACCATTAAACGGTCATTAAAAAAAACATACTTTAATTAAAAACCATTATGAATATTAATCATTATTTAACAAGTATGGTATAATTACGAGTACGTACTCGCTTTAAGGGTTTACAATATACCAAAATAAAAGTTATAATATTTTGTGTACTCTATTGTATTCAACTGTCGAAGTTAAATAAAACAGGGCATGAATACATAAATCGTTTTGTACTTGGTACAAGTCTGGTTATTTACGAACTAGTTCGGTTTCGGTCAGGAGATTCTAGTTGCAAACTAGTATTTTTCCTGACTAGTTTAGCGTTTCACTGCAGGGATA